AATAAATTTTCGGTTACTCAATTTTATCCTAATGTTTGAAATTTTCGTCAATTTCATCCAATCGGCCCATTTTCCGTCCAAATTAACGGATCTCCATTAGTTTTTTAATAAAATAATAAATTTCATTACAAAAATACCCAGTAATTTTTAAAAATTTTAAAAATAACCCCTAAAATATATAAAAATAACAAAACATTCCCTTTTCACTTATTTATTTTATTTTTCTCTATTTTGTTCCATTTCTCTCAACTACTTATAATGACCATAAAAGTCTATAATATGAGTTTAAAAAAAATATTTATTTATTTTCAAACTCTACCATAAAAATTAATCTTTGTATAATTGTAACCCATGATTGTATTTATATAAGTATGTTATTTTTTTTAATAATATAGTTTAACGATAAAGACACTATTTTTCTAATTTATTTTATTCTTCCTAACATAAAGATTAAAAATATTTAAATGAAACTAATATTCCACATAAAAATAAAATATTAGCTCAAATAAAAAAATATTAATATATTTTAGTGTATTACAATTTAACTCAAGAGACTATAACTTGCATTAATATAATTCATAAAAAAATAAATAAAATATAAAATAATTAAGACACTATTTTTTTGATTTATTTTATTCTTCTTAACATAAAGATTAAATATATTTAAATGAAACTAATATTCCACATAAAAATAAAATTTTAGCTCAAATAAAAAAATATTAACATAATTTAGCGTATTACAATTTACTCAAGAGACTATAACTTGTATTAATATAATTCATAAAAAAATAATTAAAATATAAAATAATTAAAACCTTAAAAAAATCCTCCAAACATAAGTTTTCCTTCTTGAATCTAAAACCTATTTTCTATCACAACAACTTATTACCATATTGTTATCTTCATTCATTTATTTTAAATAAAATCATATAGAATAAGCTAGTAAGACTTCCTCTATAGTTAGATATATTAACATCTCAAATAATTATTACAAAATAGAAAAAAATGAAATAAAAAATTGAAAAGAGACTATTTTATTATTTTTATATATTTTAGGGGTTATTTTTAAAATTTTTACAAACTAATGGGTTGTTTTTGTAATTAAATTTATTAATTTATTAAAAAACTAACGGAGATCCGTTAATTTGGACAGAAAATGGGCCAATTGGACGAAATTGGAGAAAATTTCAAACATTAGGATAAAAGTGGCTAATCGAAAATTTATTGACGACGAGAGCAAAGTTTTGGGTAGGAACGACATTTTTTCCGTTTTAGTTCAATATGTAAACTATTGAAATAAAATACAAATCCTACTGGAGGATAAAAAGAGATTTTCGCACCGATAAGTTAACCGTGGACATCCTGGGATATAACTACTGAAAATCGTGTATGATTTGTCCTAAAAGTGGACTGAATATCGTGAGAATTTAAGTTACCTGGACTTCAAAAATGAGCTCTGTTACTTTCTTTTCTTTCAACCAAAAAATAAATAAAATAAAAAAGAATGAAAATGTCGGAACCGGATTGATTTACATGTAAAAGTTTGCCGAAAAAGTACCAGACTCATCAGTAGTTAGGTTATTATGCATAAATAACTGGTACGTAGTTACAATGTCACAGCCATAAAAAATCTCCCTAGTGAAAGCAATCCAAAAATTTTACTCTCTGTCCTAAACACATGATTCTAAATTTTGAACTTTTACTAAATACTACTATCCCGTCTCACAAAAATAGCCCATATTGAGTTTTCAAATTTGTACTAAAAACAGTAAAAAATTCAAAATTCAATGTTGACTATTTTTTTTTGGGACGGATATAGTACTGTAAAACTAATTCGTTTAACCTTTTAGGTCTGATTGAAGGACGTAAAAGATTAACTAAATTTTCAAAGATCACTTGTTTTTAACACATCGGTTCCTATTTCAAAATAACTAATGATTCTCCCTACCTTCGTTATCATTTCATTTCCTTTACTATACAAATACAATAGACTTTTTGAGATTTTTATATTTTACTTTGGGTCAACCACCCGACACACCGGGCTAAGGAAAAACCGGAAAACTATAACCCAAAAATAAAGTGTCGATCCAAACTGTTCATATAGTATCTTTGTCCTTGATCCTTAGAAGGGCGTTGCAATTGCTTCAATGTGTTCCTTCCGATCCTAATGCAAATTAGCATTTGCTTTCAATTTTAATTCACGCTTTAGAGATAAGACCCAAAGGAATAACAGTTTTCTAATAACAAGTATATGAATATACTAGTTTAGGCCGTAACTAGGTAAACCTAAACCGTAAATACGTAAACTAATATTTACATCCATAATACTCCATAATCGAATATTGTATAAAAATAAGAGTAGAATGACTTAATGTACGATGAAATAAGTATTTGATTAAAGAGAATCACCTACCATACAATATGTGGCATTAATTTTTTTTTTTTTAAAAAAAATGAGAGTCACCACTTTGTGGAAAATCATGTTTACTATTCTAAAATAATTTATTCAACATCACCCTCTCTTTTTTTGTTTTTTTTTTGGTTGATGGTACTGGAAGTACTAAAGAACTTCTATATTTCCCATCTTGGAGTGGGAAGGATTTTTTTCTTTGTTGTTGGTAGATCATCCAATCGAAAATGCGACACATATAAAGAGATTTTCTTCCTTCATTGATGCTATATTTGACTTATCTGTGATTCTAAAGTCATTGTATTTTTTAAAATAATTTATTTCTTATTTCTTTGTTTTTCGATGAAGGACTCGTTCATAAATATATATAAGTCAAAACGGAAAAAAAGCAAATCTACATAACAGTACTAATAATAATTTAAAGAAAGAAATATCCTTTTATTCCAAAATAATTATCTTGTTTATTCAACAGTTTTTTGGAGCATAATTAGTAACGTGCTTTGATTGAGAAAAATGCAAGGTCATCTCATTGAGAGAGATTTCCTTTGACATTGCACTTTGTAGATCTGAATTTTGTGCAGTTCAACAAATGCTATACGGCACGGCTTCAAAATTGGCTTGTGGAAATTCTTTTGGATAGGGTTCTGACCCAAAATATTTTTCCTTCTTTCAGACATCTACTATATATATATATATATATATATATATATATATTTTGGTTTCTTTTATATTCACTCTGTTTCAAAGTACTCCTTCCATTTTCTTTTTTTATGTCTTTCTAGAGAATTCATCAAAACTAAGAAAATATTAAATAATATCGTTAAAATACAAAAATATCCTTATCTATTTTCTATACAATTCATCACAAATCAATAGAAATTCATTATAAATACTGTTTCATTCCCAATGCCGGGGTAACATTGGTAAAAAGTGATCAAATGTGCATCGATTTGCAAAAACGACATATATTTTAAAAAAATTATCTTAAAACGACATATATTTCAAAATGGAGGGAGTAGAAATCTTCTTTTTTATGTCAAAATAATCAAACTGTTATTTTAAGACAAAGATATGTACAATCAAAACACATTAAGGAAAATTGTAACATTTCAACCTACAAGGAAAACACATGACTCAATTAATTGACACGCCAGAATACCATATCCTCATTTGACCAAGTGTTGGTTTCTTTTTTCCCAATGGAGAAGAAAAAAAAGAAGAAGAAGAGAGATTGAGACTAGTCATAAATTCAAGAAAAGCATGAAACAAACAAAGAAAAGCTACTTCGTTGGAGGACTTCTGAAGCCCCAAATGGCAAAATTACCAGCCATGGATGCTACCAAAGAAGAATGTAAACATGTGAGATTTCCAATGGTTAGAAAAAAAAAAAAAAGGAAAAAGAAGTTTTTATATCTACTCAAAGAATATTTGATCATCATATTCTTTTCAACTTTGAAAATTATTTTTTAGGTACAATAAAAGGCTGCCTTATTTATAGAATTTTTAAGAAAATACAAATTGTTGATAGTCATATTTGAACCATGATTTGATTGTTTCTGGTAACTCTCCTCGTTCCTTTTATAATGAAAAAACTAATAATTCACAATAAAAAAATAGTTTCACGTATCCATTTTGTGCATTCACTTACACATTCAAAGCTCAAAACATCCTTGATCACCTCGATAGTTTACCTACACTCGAATATGATACCATCCATTTAATTGATACTGAAAATCATGACTTATTTTTCTCCACTAGCTTTATGTGCATCAAATTGTTTGTGTCCAAATGTGCTTCGCTGGTTTTATGGATACTAAGTGGAAAATCTTCGATTATATCCGAATGTTGATCGGAAGATATCTTTTTCCCTTCTGTTTATGGGTCCACATTGCCACTGAAAATTATTTCCTCCATCTCAGAAAAATAATAAGCGTTATGATTTGTAAATTATTATGCTGTTTTTAGTATAATTTGTAAATTACAATGTGAAATTTTGGGACGGAAAGAGTGATAAATTATTAGTAATTTTGAAAATTCATGAACAAATTAATTTTCACGACTTCATTGGGAATGGAAAATTACAGAATTGATCAAATTCTATATGTTCATGTGTGTCCTATAGAAAACCGATTAACTTCTCTAGATGAATTTACCATGATCTAGAAGTATATATCATCTACTAGAATATGAGTTTATCTTGTGATTCTACTCAAAGATTCTACTAAGACTACTAGTGCTGTGAGCTGAAAGTAATTTTGACTTTGGAATGAATCAATACGAGATACGGTTCGAGTAGGGTTACCAGAAACAATCAAATCATGGTTTAAGTACGAATATAAAAAGTGATTAATTTCTTAATTAAGAATGAATCGCTAAACTCTTTCCACTCGATCACAACCCTTTTATAAGTTATTCGTGCCACGACTTTGAATTACTTTTTTTTTTATTATACAGAATCTAAGGTGAGATTTTCTTACACCGCATGTTTCCATTAAAGCATGTGCTTACTTGTTCCAACACGAAAGGAAGACACTGAACTCAAATATCTAAGGTGAGATAGATATTGGATCATGAGAATAAATATCAAAGTGTCAGAGACTAACTGGAGTGAAGATTCAGAAGATATTGAAGAATCTTATCCCAATTCCCAACTTAAATAAATATATAAAAAAAAAAGAAGGAAAAGAACTGAAGCCATAAAAAGAAAAAGGAAGAATGCTGCTCCCGAATGCCCAGAAATGCTACCCACATCTGCCTAAATTAGGCACACAAGTTTGAATAAAAGTTGATACTCTGCTTGAGATTCCAGATTTGGAGTATTTCGGCCGCTGTTCAATTCGCCGCAACCCAACTTTCAGACAGTACAATGACAACGATTGAAACAAAGTGTAATCCACGAAATATCAAAACAATGATTGAACACACATTCCCACTTCTAGAAGTGCATGAATGGCTTTTGTCAGCCCCAGATTACTATTTCAGTAAATGTATAGAATACTCAGCTAAATCACCCTCACAAAAGTGTATACTTTCAAACTTCAAGCTACTACTAGTGGAAAAAAAATAAAATAAAATCGTTAGTTTATCCCCACACACTTCTTCCCAATTGTTGTTGCTATTTAAAAATCCATCATTAGTAACAATGATTTGCTAATACAATTACAAATCTCCTTCTGACTGAGGAACATTCCGAAGATCAATGCTATACGAATATTACTTCGAATTTAGCACAAGGGTTGCTTTCTATGTGGTTTTTGAAGTCAGTGTTGTCTCTGAATTTAAAGCTGTATAAGGCCTGTCTTTGTGTCAACCCAAGGGGATGTATCCTGTAAATTTTTAGCTCGTTCCCTCCTTTGAGCTTTTCGGGTCTTTCGTCTTTCCACACCGGTACATGTTTCCGAGAATTGAATGTCGACAACACCGCAGATTCCAAAGAATCCAAGGTCAGATTAGATGACCTGCCCAAAAAATTCGACAACGAGAATCTCTATTAAGGGTTGGAAACAAAGCCCAGAAATAATGCTTATGGAAAGAGCAGTTTACGCAGGCTGACATATAATTAACTTGTTCATCCTAGACCAGCAAAAAGATCCACCAAGCAATGATGGACTAGCCAACGTTCAGAGGTGACGTGTAAGAAAGAGAAAGAAATACCTTAAGAAAATCGACAACATCTCGAACCTCCCCCTTTCGCGCACATATACATGATAGACAGTTTCAGAGCCTCTGGTACATTTGCAGGGACGATTTTGAAACTCCGTGCTATTCTTCTCTTCTGCTTCCTGGATCTTGGTTGCCAAGAAAATGCACAATCGACAAGAGGAATGTACTGCGGCCATATCAACCAAGGCCTTGAAAGAATCTGATGGGCCCTCAAACTTCCACCTGGAATAGTAGTACATAACTATTTAAATGGCGGCAATGCAGGCGAGAATTTAAAAAGTCTCCTAGCAAGATCTTGCACACAGACAATGACACGCATATCAACATTAAGTAAGAATATATTTAATATTACAATGTTACTAAACCCAGATGAGGAAATCCTCAATAGATCAAGCAATAGGCCCCATGTGCATTGATAAATACTGACCTCAATGATTCATTGTACGCAGCTGGATTCTCGGAAAGGTATTTCATAGTCTTGGCAACTGGATTGATATCTTTAAGCTCTTTGATATGTAACAAAGAGCCAGGGGAAGGAGCGAAATCTTGGATATTTGGAGCACCAACAACGACGGGTATCGTGCCTACATATTCATTTTCTCCTTCCTTAGCAAAACAGTGTACTATTTTCAAGCAACAGACAATGCCTCAAAATAAATCTTGCTCATCAAAAGATAATAAGTGTCAAACATAGCACTAAACAAGAATTTTAAATCATCTAGCCCAACCAGCCCAAAGAGCTCAAGTAGTTCCACCAAAGAGCTGCAAATCAACAAGCTTCAAGGATGAAGAATTTAGGAAAATGAAGGTACTTACCAGCTACAAGAGATTGGAAATACTTTTCTGTAACATAATCTTCCTCATTAGAATTCTCAAAAGCCAAGCTGAACTTGTAACGCTTTAGTGCTTTTACCTTGTCCACTGCAACAAAAACGGAGCAAAAGTTCGTAACTGAATTTACTTGCTTAACAAACTTCCATTGGTTACCAGTCCTACGTTGCTTTGACATTACTACTACATGAACAGCAGTCCATTCAAACAAATGAGTCTCAAGGCAAAAATAGAAAGAAATATGAGATATCAAAATATAATGAAAAAGAGAATTATTTTCTGCCTCAGAAAGGTGGAGAACTAAGCAGCCTTATCGTCTAAAATCCACAACTTCTGCTAGAAGGACCACAATGACGAAAGAAAACTATTTCAAGCCTAACCTCTTCCGTTGCGATTATTATGGCAACTGCCATAAGAATCAATCTTGATGTTTGCCTTCTCAAGTCCTTCAAGAGCTTGCAGTCGAAAGTTGCGAGCACCACAATTAGATATAAAAGCCGCTGCTATAGCACTCTCTGTTTTTGGTTCAACTGGAGCCATTATATCATACTCAGCCCAAGAGAAATACCCAACTGGAACATCCGAAGAAAGACTAGTAGTCATGACAACATCATAGCCCCTCCTGGCACGTTAGGGGAAAAAACACCATAAGCTCGTTAGTTTATGAAAATTTCTCACAGATCAAGGCCAAATCCGAAGTATGGAACTAAACCAACCCATGAAAGAAGTACCAAATCTAACTAAGTCAACAGGGCAAGCCTGTAAACATAATAATTGGAGTATTGGATTTGATGCCAAAAATTTGCAACACTCTATTTTTAGCTTTATTCCCATCATTATTTTTTACTAGTTTTGTCAAGTGCACGTAAGTAAGAAGATGCAAGCTATCAAAGGCAAGAGCATTCATGTACTGTTCTTTCCTTATGCTAGGGTCACATATCACACAACCAGCTTTTCTGAGTGGTATAGCTGCTCTGGTCTTACACTATAATGAAAAGTGGCTCCGGTATCTCCTATTTGGTTCCATGAATTTTCTTCAATTGAAATCTTCAAAACCTTATTAAGTGTACTAGATAAGGTCCAAATCCTCTAGATCAAAGGAAGACGTGTTAAAACAAACACGAGTAATGTACTCCCCAAACAACTGCTCTAAACAAGGGACTCTTTTGATACTAAAGAACTGGCTACAGCATACATTCTCAAATAAACAAATTAAGAAGCAACACCAAATTACATGTAAAAATGTTCCTAAGCATACAGCTAAGCATGGCTAAAACTTTACCTTAACCACTTATTTAAAGTGTGCCTAGAAGGAAAACTGTGAGAACAAATGAAGGATAAATATAACTTCTATTCAGGTACCCAACATGCAGAACATCACTTTCTAAAGATAAACGGAAGCCAAATTGTTCTAGCTATAAAAGACCCTAGAATGCATACATGTAGATAACGCTCACAATATCAAAGGAACTTCCTTTTCCATATTGATTAATTAAACTAAAAGATGCTACTTGGCACTTTCAGATAGTTCTTACCCACCGTCTTGCCATTGCGATGTCGTTTTCTGCGTAATATTGAGCTGACTCCATTGACCTAAGAACACTTAAAGCACCGCCTTGTCGAGGTAATCCAAATGAAGCATCGGGGTTAATACCATCCTCATATCCAAATTTGCACCCTGCTGAACAGGTCTTCCACTCCTACACCGAGGCATAAATTTTGAGGAAAATCTTTAGACACTTAAGAGAAAAAGAGATTACCCACCAACAAAGAGGGAACAAAACACGTGTAAAATGAAAAGATAACAACTTCAAAATGCTTAATTTCCTAGCATGCACCAAGCAACTTATCAGAATCCAAAAACTGGCATTAGATTATATTCAAATTCGATCAATCAGTACCAACGATGGCACGGCCTAAATAACGACACTACACTGCCTTTCCAAAAAGAAGAACACAAAATCAGCAAGGAAAAAACTGTGAAATGACAAGAATTAAGCCTTTATCTCACTATTTGAGAATCAGCAACTATGTACAAAATTAAATTTAAGTAAATCATGTCTTCTAGTTGTTTCTTCTCAATTAATTCAAGAATTTCACTTCCCCTTACTCATCATCCCTTTCAAGTTGCCATTAAAGATTCTATGTCTTTAAGTCACCATACTAAGGATTCTAAGAATCTCTTCGTACAAAGTACAAACAATGGTAAGCGTGTTTCTCCAAATTTTTCATCTATCCCATCCCCTGCTTCATTTCTAATGCTATCTGATCCAATGCTAATACATAGCAACATTCTACCAACTAATTCTGCCACAGTGCAAGTGAACCTTGAATCTAAATAACACATAAGCCAAAAACAGGAGACATTCCATACCAAAAAAAAAAAGAAAAAACAAAGACAATTCATAATCACGAGGAAAAGAAGAAGCCAAACCTGCCCAGCACCAGTGACAAAGATTGGTTCCTTGTCAAAATCTCTCGAGTGAGGAACCGCGTCGGCTTTCTCCAACCATTCCTCACAAGTACCATTCAATTCCCCACGGGGGTCACCGGCACCGCCATCACCATCATCGCCGCCGTCGTCGTCGTCAACGTCGATCCTGAAATTAGTGGAAGACGCCGGCAACCAAGAGGGCGACGACATCGTGAACTTGTAGAAAGAGTCAGCCCAGGAATTGACTAAGTCAGCTTTCTTGGCCATGTCTAGACGACCCAGAAAAGCGATCTCCGAGATGACCACTAAAATCACAACCACGGGCATCAATTTCCACCATTTCTTCTTGGAGTTGCTGCTGTTATTACTAGTTGGAGAGGATGAGGATGATCCAATTGAAATGATTGAATCTTCGTACTTAGGCGGATTATACCTTGGAATCGGGGAACCCATCGAACGGATTCAAAAGATATTTGTTGCTACCTCAATGTCTTGTACATGGATTCTTTTGAATTTTCTCTTCAGATTTACGGGGTTTAAGGAAGAAGATTTTAAGGAGTCAAGATGAAGTTTCAATTTTCAAATGGCGTTTTGTTTTCCACCTGGAAGTCCACGCCTCCTAGTAGGATTCCTTAATACGAACATTTGCTAATATGGTAGAATATAGACTTTAACCTCACCTAATTTGTGTTGGTCTTCGTATAATCGTAGAATCAATGCCGTTTGTTTGATTTTTTTAAGGTCATTAGGTCGGAAAAGAGCCAATTAAATTTTTTTCTGAGAAAAAGAAACAAAATTATTTTGGCTGAAATATATTGGCGATAGGAGAATTTCTAGAAACATTTGGCAGCTAAGTATTGACTGACTTCTTCTTTTCATTTTCTTCTTAATTTGCTTTTTTACATTTCCATTTTCACTAGGGTTTTTATATACTCTCAATACCAAAATAATAATAATAATAATAATAACAACAACAACAACAACAAGAATAATAATAATAATTCAAACACATCCTTATAAAAATGATTTATCTGCTTACAATACAACTCGCTTGAATGATGAATTTAAAGCAAGACTTCGTATTATCATTTTTTGTCTTAACGGAGACGAAACTTATAACTTTAGGGAATAACTAAAAAAACAAAAACGATTTTGGATCATTGAGGTTTATCAATAAAAACCTATATATGCTATTTGAGTATGGATCGTTGAGGGTTTGAAGATTTCGATCGTTCCCATTGATGGTGATCCAGAGTAGTCTTCTATCAATAAAATGACCGAAATCTTTCTATCATTCTAGTAGATTAAAGACAACAATCTGACACATATTATATCCGGTTAAATTATTACAGTATTTGCTAATCTAGAATTTGAATAAATGTCGCTTGACAGGAAAAAAAAAAATAATTCAACCAAAAATTAATTCGTCCATGATCCATTAGAGTAAAGTATCATTCTAGCGGATTAAAGAAAACAATTTGGCACATACTATATCCGGCTCTTTCTTTTGCTCCTAAATTTCCATTAGACACAAGGTCCATTTGATTATCTTTATGATCCTAAGGAATGGCCGAACATTGATTCAGAGTCTCTTTTTTACCTTTCTGCATACATTATTCTAATTTCGCCCTTCCCCTTACTATTGTATTAGTGAATAAAATTATGAGAAATTTAAAAGTAGGGAAAATTGAACTTTTTATGGAAAAAAAAAATCCCCTGAAATTTACCATGACACTACAATAAATTAGTAAGGCCAATGTATAAACACACAGGGCTGTGTTTCTTTAGTTAAAAAAAAAATGCTTGAAAAAAAAAAAACTTATAATCTCTTCTATAAGTTAAATCCGATCACCTACGCTGTACTAACTAAAAGTTCGATAACAACTCCTAGTCTCCCACTCGCTCCAAACTCCAAAGTGCTCCAAAGTCCAAACCATCATTTCCTATTCTTAAGGGGCTATTAAAGCAATAAAGTACTAAAAAAAAATATTAGTAGTTCTGTAATGTATTTAGACATTGACATAAAGTGCAACTCTTTCAACACTTAAACTTGTTCCTATGTTAGCCACAAAAAGGGAAAGAGAGAGAAAAGTTACACCAAACAAAACAAGCTTCTCAACATCCTATTAGGAATGATGGAGAAGATCTTTGAATAAACGAATACAAAGTACAATCAACTAATACAGTCTTCGTATTTCCTAAGATCGCAAAGCTTCCACCAGCTATAAAGATATGCATCTACATCCTTCTCTACATCTCGAAACGGAAGCTAATAGTCTAATAGTCTAATACCCATTCATGAAGCTACATAGACCTTTTAAGTATATGTACTCATAATAACCTAGTCAGCCTTCCAATTCCACACTACAATCATATCTTCATATAATAATCATTCTCACTAAATCAACATATCTCACTCTAAGTGAAGCAAGATTTTAGAGTATTATGGTGAATCTTCATCATCCACTGGTGCTACTCAGGTTAGGTTAGTAATGAATACCATCCAAAATGCAAAAGAACTTATGAGAATGTATAAACCACGAGATACGAGGGACATTCACGTAGGAAGCATCTATTCAGCAGGAAGTTATGGAGATGAGGTGGTAACGACATCTAGTCGGTGAGTTAGGTAGGGCCGGGTGGAACTACATTCAGGCATCATGTTGATCTCCACTTCAAGCATCTCCTACAGCAGTTTTCGACCTCATTGCCAATGAAAAAAGATTTGAGCGATCTTCACAATCTTTATCAACAAAATTCTGACCTGAACCTTCTGCGAAATCATCATTAAAAGTGAGATGTACTGAGGAGGTTTGATAAGGTTGGGACAGTATACGCCTCCCCACAAATCATTACTTCCCAGTTCCCAAAATAAAAGTTTCCAGACCTACTCTAGCAAAAAGATCGGCATCTTCTGTAGTTGGAGAAAGTTCAGTACAGATCTATTATATAGTTCAGTAATTATGTGGAACTAGTCCTCATACTACTCATTTCTTTGTCAAAAGGTGAAATACGTAAACCCCAAGGCAATGTACCACCACTATCCTAATCAAAGATTGAAGAAAGCAAATTGAGGAAAGAATCTTGTCAAATATAGGAAAAAAGGTTGGTGAACATAACACTTCATGCAGCTTTATGCTTTTCCAAAGGAATAACAGCTCCAAATAAACATTTTATGAATGCTCTTGACTCCACTATCTGAAATTAAACTTCAAATCTGGGATGCTCAAAAATTCGTTAAAACAACAAGGACAGAGTTAGGATATACAACAACCCCCTCTACTCTTGTCCCAGAGTTCAACAAAAGGCAAGAAAGTTCCATGTTTTGACAGTATAGCAGCAAAGAGAGAAGCAGCGGCAAAATGCACACCAATCTACCTCTAGGGAGAAGTCATAGCATAAATAACACAACTAAACAGAATATGACGAGAAAACCACAAACAAAAGCACATTTAGGGAAAAAGAACATGATTCAAGTCAGATTATCTTCCATATCAACAAAGTTGGTGGCATAGTTTTTCACAAGCATTTGTTAAAAAAATTTTCTGGTTAGTTAGAGCTAGATTTCTTCCCTTAACAGTGTTCCTCCAGATAAAACTCTTTGTAACCTTTGAGATCTATAGATAGCAAAGGGTTGAATCTTTACCTGCAAGTCCCTGACAATGTATCCACGGAATCTCAATAGCATCATTATACGAAAGAGGACGATCCTTTTCAAAGACCGCTTTCTTCCATCCATCATCTCTTGAATTGCCAAACTGCACCGCAGAAGGGGAAAAAAAATCAGACCCTGATATCTTGTTTTAAGATCCTACAGAACAATTACGAACAAGAGACAGAGCACGACAAGCATGAAAGACATAGGACTTCTACCTGCCCTGAAGCCTTATTAACACAACCCGGAACCCTTTGAGTTATGTCTTTACCACCTCTATTCTGTGCTTTGCACCAAGCGAGCAAACCCCTGGACCGGTGCAATTGTTGAACAAAGGATGCCTCCAAGGAATCAAGAAATTTGTTGTGCATTTCATCTGTCCATGCAGAGCCATTATCCTGTTGATGAAGAAAAGGAAGATCATTAATGAAAGAAGTATAGGATCATAGAGAATCGGAACATGTCCATAAAGTTTTCATGAAGACCACTCAAATGATAAACCATAAATGCATGAGCTGCTCGTAATCATAATTGCCAGTAGCTAGTAAACAAGAGGAGTAAATGTTCACGTGGAAGAGAACAGACAAGATTAGTTACACAACTTTGTGAGTTATGGCCTAATGGACGTGCCTGCCAAAGACGATATAAACATCTGCACTGAGTATGCACAGAGACCACTCAAATCATAGGCCATAACTACATGCAGCTGCCCCATAATAACAATTACCAGTAGCTGGTAAAACAAGGAGAGTAAATGTGTACTATGGAACAGAGAAGACAAGTTCAGCTATATAATTTTGTGGGTTATGACTAAAAGAACATGCCTGCGAAAATTTTACCGTTACCAAATAAGCGAGTTGTAGGTGACATTACACCTCAAAGATTAAAACAATGAATCTAGTCTTCGGAAGAAAAGACACTCAGTAATATGATCACGTGAATTTTGATCTTGAGACCATGCATATTTTGCCTTAAGAGGAGGTATGGATAGCTTGGTTAGCAACGTGATCCTTCTTAGCAATTTTACCCACCCAACCGACCTGTACCAGTTCTGAAGCTCAGACATGCCATGCCATGTAATATACCATGTACTACACCAACTCTGGCAAGGCATTATTTACATAGGCAGCTTCATAAAGGAAAAATCAGGTATTAAAAGATTTCAATTACTCCAGAACTCCAGCAAACCATTTTCAAACACTGAAATTCCTACCACACTTTTATTACAAATCAACAAGCCTGTAGGAGTTATACTAAATGCAACCGAACCCAACAATCTCGATGACAATACAAGATTCGAAAAGTCCAAACAATCATAAACAATCCCAAAGGTTCATCAACCGTAAACAGTTAGATACGACTCCATCCCTTCCCTAACCAAAACAGGAATTCCTGGTTTCCTTCCCAAACATTTTTTATAAACCAATAATTCCCCAAACATTCATCAGAATACAACTGTTTTTCACGACAAAAAATAAATAGCGGCATTTATGTTGAGACTATCCTCGACGAACATGGAAAACCAAATCTTTTATCTTCAGCAAATGGGAAAAAAAATTAAAAAAAGAACACACACACACACACACACACACACGCATAGAGCATATGCTCAAATAGGTCCATTTATGGTAATAAACAAACATTACAGGGGAAATAAAAGGTTAATTTAAATCATCAAAGAATTACCGGTCGTCGTTTAACACTAGGATGCAAACCATCTCCAGAATTCTCAGCACTCATAGAAGAATCAGCGGCGGAGTTCGATCGAGTCAACTCACCACCACCACCACCGCCAGTAAGCTCTTCTTCTTCTTCTTCTTCTTCCATCACCAGATTGAGCAACGCCGGCGTATTCCCCTCATCCATTTTCACACATGCCAAGAACAAGAAGAAGAACAACAACAAAAATGCAGATTTACCCAAAATAATATCCGTAATTTAAATCGGATAAAAATACAACCAAAAAAGGAAAAAAAGAATTTAGAGGAAAAAAAAACCCTCTCCTTTCACTGTTTGCGATTTTTTTTGTGAGGGAAAAGAAGAAAAGGGGAAGAAAGGAGGAGTTGGCGGTGGGGTGTAACGTTGGGAGGCCAATAAAGGTTCCACATGTCGACGCTTTTTTACACGTGTCAGTGACATCAACCAGGTGCCACGTAGGCAAAGTAATATCTTGGGGTAATGTCAGCCAGATATTTTTTGGTCTTCACTCACACACACACACAGAGATTAGAACAGAGCTGACAGTTTGTTTTTTGTTTGGCCCAGTTAGTACTACATTTATAACCGCCGTGACATATTCTGGTAAGACAAGAAAATCTTCCGTTCAGTTGTTGTATCACGTAGGATTGTGCGGCTAGATACATGAATAAGACAAGATAATAATTTTACCAAGAAAATTATCATAAAATTAAAGGGTCATGATATTTTTCAATATAATGAATGTATTATTATACTAAAAAACGGGATACACTTATCGTACAGAATAATTTTTCATGGTAGGACTACCTTATTCCCTCCGGAACCTCCTCCATGGTATGAATATTTTGTCTCTACACCCACGGGAAAAATTATGGTTAACAGAATTGGACACTAATATGGCATTTATAAATTAATACGTGCAATATTTTTTATGTCCGAAAAAATAGTGTACATTAAATTTTGAATGTTTTGAAGGAGAAATTAAGTACATTATTGGTCATAGTTCTTCTAAAAGAGGAAATTATCATTTCGAATTAGGCAAATCTAGTGTACTTGACAATTTTGAACTTCAAGTGGGAATATATGTTTGTTTATAACAGAGAGTGTTTTTATTTAGTAAAATGATACTATGACAAGTAAAAGTATCCGGAAAAATACTCTATTCCTACTAAAGGTGAGATCATAACCCGGTGGAGCATGTTCACTGTTGGTTATGTTGGTTTTCGTCATATACAATGTATATTATGATATTGAAAAAAAGGTTGAATAATATTCAGACGGTTGCAAAGATTACAAGAGAAATTATTCAGTGTAAGTGTTGTACCACGTAGAATTGTGTAATCAGACACAATAATAGAGTAAAGTAGTAATTTTAGGAGAAAGGACATAATTTCTACGGGAATTATACCACCGAAATAGGAATGCTAGTACTTGCTGCACTAAAAATCATGATACAACAGCTATAACCAATAATTTTTCAGACTACAATTAATGTGTTGGGAATTTTTAATTCAGTTTGATTATCTATTTATAAATGCATTTTATAAAGATAAAAATTAGCTAATCAAATCATTTAAATCGAAATTAACTCCGGGGGTTACAAAATGCCACTTTTAGCCATACAGTTTGTTTTCATCTGTATAATCTAATACATACATTAGGATTAAGAGATAAGACTCACATCAAAGACAGCTATCCAAAATGGTCCATCTGCCAAAAACAATAAGTATTCTTTTACAATCAAGAATCACTCTCAAGTCTGAAATTGTCTTCTTTTATCTTCTCTCTCTCCCATTTTATTTTGCTCTCAATTCAACATAAACTATTTCTTGCCTCAACCATACCAAAATATGAATGTCAACGTCGTAATTAAACTAATGACCATAGTCCATAGAGAATATCAAATAAATAAAACAATTTTTATAGGACAATTTTTTTTTTTATAAAAAAATAATGAAGACAAACATTATTAGCAGTAACAAACTAACAATAATGATTAATATAAAAAAAAAATCTAATCGACAGGGTGCATCATGAACAATCACGACGGTACTGTATATGAAGCAAAAGCAAAAGCTGTTTGGGTGCTTTCTAATTGATTAAATCATCTGACGCTTCAAAAGTCAACATTTATAAGATCCCACATTGCTGACGTTGCCGCCCAAGATATTTTTAGGGTGAAAGCCTGAATGAAACATTAAAGAAGAACAAAAGAGCTGAGTGGATAAACTGGATATTTTTTTTTTGGATCTTGTTTGACGCTGTACCGTACAGAAGTCTGAACATATCCTGTATATGAATCTGTCATTCATACTTTATATTCCTAGTTTATTGCCTAGCTATTATTAGAAACAATTGTTATCTCTATCCCACAAAAATCATACTCCTGAATTAAAATTAACACAATCCATGAATCCTAATGCAAACTATACCGATTCAAAAAAATAATATTGACGGTTTAGAGAATAATTTATGCCAAATCAATTATCGTCCCTGGACTACCACCACCACCACCATCCAATGTAATGCTGTCCTCCGACCACCATTGCCAGGCCGAATTCCGGCCAACAGTGATAGCGGTTTCGGTAACAGTTGAGTGGTAGTTCGAAAATGTATGTTTGGATCGTTTTTTAACGTGTGTTTTTAAGTCTTTTTTTATATTGAGTATATAAAAAAATGTATTAAAAATGTTAAAAAAAAAGATATAATGAGATGGAACAATTATTAATAAACAAAGTTATGGAAAAAACTAATGACAGAACAATTATTCAGTGGCAATACTTGCTGCGATTGGTGAAGCTGATTGCTCCATAGCTAGTTTGCCAATTCTGCACGACATTGGGGTTAATTTTACTTTCACAGCTTTCTTTTACTGATTTGTATTGGATTCCTAGAGTCAAGACTATAGCTGATCATGCCATAGCTAACCATTCGAAGTCAAATGCGATTTCGGCTACAACTTGGTCATCTCCGCCAAATTTTCTGTATCATTCTTCTAGCAAGTTTAATGAAGTACTATTTTTTTTAAAAAAAAAGGAAAAAAAAACTGTGAGGTATCGCTCATATTGATATTTTTAATTAAGCAACATTCATTCTCCTTACGGATTAAGTTTTGACCTAGTACCTAATTCTAGACATGTTTTTCTGTCCCTTTCATAGAAAGAGTGCGGTTATTTATTACATATCCTATTTTTATTTTACTTTTTACATTAAAAAAGATTTAATAAATATCAATAGCCTCGTATTTTAAATTAGAACTTCTTTCAGAATGTGGTATTTCAAGTTGACAACATGTACTATTAGTTTAGAACATTCTGAGTTTAGAACACGAGTCAAGCGATATAAATGAAACCTCACTATCTAAGTCGCATGGGTAGTCTTTGTATGCTTTTGCATAATAAATTCAATAGTATAAAGTCCAGATAGTTTAGAATTAGAACCTGAAATCTATATGTATACTTACCAGTTAAGAACATCATAGTGTAGAAGCTGTCGTATTTCAAGAGTATCAATACTAGTGAATGATGCATGTTAGGAACATTTTAACCACAATTTTAATTTCAGTTGGTAGCTTGTCTAACCAGTCAAGCCTACATAATAACAGATCAGCTAAGAATGCCAAACAACATATGAACTACAGAAATTTAAAAATAAATGTACTTAAACTCCACAAACAACTTGCTTCGTAATTACTCTCCAATTGCTTCGAATACCCTATTTCTAGTTCAAGAAATAATCCTTTCAATCGGAATTTATATGTGATTAAAGCACGATATCATAATATTATTAGAGTTTCTTACCCTAAAACTATTTTAATGTAATTTGGTCCGATTTTGTCTCTTTCATTGTAATAGAGAAAAAAAACAAATAATATTCCTTTCAATTTTAACAATGGAGAGAGAGTAATGAAACAGATAAACACTCCCAATAAAATTTCGTCAATGAAAAAAAAAAAAGGCTCAATTTACATTTCCTGAGTAGTAGTAAAAAGCAATGAAGCTGGATCAGAATCCTGAACATAATTTTGGCGGACATGCATACTAATGCCAGAGTGATTACTTCTCATAGATCTTTGACACGTGATAAGCGTTACACTTATAAGATAACTATTGCTTAGAGAGTGTTCTTTATTTTTCGGTTTTGACGTTGAATTCCATTTTATAAAACTGGAACAACCTGTCAATGAGATATTGTTTCACGAGAAACATCAAACTCCGACTGCAGACATTTTTGTAATAAGCGCGCGCAAGCGCGCACACACACACACATAATCACAACCGGGGGACTAGAAAAGCCTTTAAGAATTCAATTTAGTAATTGGATCTAACTAATTTTGTTCTAAAACTTGAATTCCTTCTTGTCAAGTATGATCAAGAGAAGGGGCTTTACCAAATAGCAACTCATAAGGAGATTTTCTATCCAAAACAGGTGTAGGAAGACAATTAATCAGATAGACGGCAATTAACACACAATGTCCCCAAAATTCAAGCGGTAAATGAGCTTGAAAACGTAAAGCACGAGTGACATTCAAAATATGTTGATGCTTTCGTTCAACACGACCATTTTGTTGTGGTGTCCCGACACAGGATGTTTCATGAATGATGCCATGGTCACGAAAATAAGAACTCATACAAAGAAATTCAGAGCCATTATCACTACGCACAACTTTCACCAACTTGTCAAATTGTCGATGAACCATGGTAAAACAATTCACCAAAGTCTTAGATATCTAAGTAGCACGAGAATAATCATCCACCCCAGTTAAAAAATATCGAGTGCCAGAAAACGTGGGAGTGCGATATGGCCCCCACAAATCACAATGTATTAAATGGAAAAGCTCAACATTGTGAGTCTTACTGGCAAGAAAAATAGCTCGAGATAGTTTTGCACGTAAACAAACATCACATTCTTTATTATTCAAACAACCACTAACAGAATCAGAAAATGACAACTGTTGAAGAACTCTAGCCGATGGATGTCCCAGACGTTGATGCCATAAGGAGGTAGAAAGATGACCTCCAGCACGTGCAGCAGCCGCAGTGACTGTCCCTCGGAACCAATAGAGACCCCCCAACTGTTCACCCGTGCCAATTACTATCCTTGAAGTACAGTCCTGTATAACACAAAATGTATTGGTGAGTGAGCCACACAACGAGATTGATCCAACAGTTGAAACAAAGAAATCAAACGGCAGTGCAAACTCGGAACAAACAGAATATTAAGCAATGTCACAGCACTATTAAGATACACCATTCCCGCCTTGTTGGCAAGAGTCAAAGTACCATCCGGAAGCTGAATCGGACAAGCGACAATATCCCGAATATCCGACAAGTCAGTCAAAAAACCGGTCATATGATGTGTTGCACCATAATCGTACATCCATCTAGAGGAAAGAGGCTTACCGGTAAGAGCATCATTTGATCAACTAGTATCCGAATTCAAAAAACCAATGACTTTATGCCACTGATCATTATTAAGGCCAATAATAGCCTTATCTCCATTACCCAAAGCAACCGAACCGGCCGAGGCATCAAGGACTTGGCTGCATTAGCTCGGACTGCACCAATTCCGCGCCCAGCACCATTTCCGCGACCAGCTGCATCTTGAGTCGTCGGAACGATTGCAGACCCAGAACCACCTGCAGCAACTCCGCGAGGACCACGGTACCAATCTGGGTACCCAATCTTCTCAAAACATAACTGCTCATCATGATAGGAGCAGCCGCAATACGTGCACACTTGCTGACTTCGATCAACTCCAGAGCGGCGCCCACGTCCACGTGAAGTAGAGCCAGGAACAGAAGACGCCATTCCCAGTCGTGAGACAGAAACCGCAGCCGCTGAAGAAGGAACAGCGACCGAGAACGCCGCTGCATCACCGCCCTGAACTTCGGAATCGATCGTCGCCGAACGAAGACGCTCCTCTTGTATCATGACGGAATATACTCGATCGAGATTGGGAAGAGGGTCTTGCGCCAACATATTAGAGCGCGCGGTACCATAGAGGGCTAAATCCAAACCCATGAGAAACTAATGGGCCTTCGCGTCCTCTCTCTTTTGATCCCAATCGGCAGCGAGGTTACACCGACAAAGGCCACATTTGCACAGCGTAGGTCGCTCGTAATCAGCCAATTCTTCCCAAAGTTTGATCAATTTCCCGTAGTAAGCAGTCACGGACAGACCGTGTTGCTTGCAATCAGCCAAGGAAGACTTCAATTGTTGAATACGTGTGCCATTAACAACTGAAAATCTCGATCGAATATGAACCCATAACTCACGAGCCTCCTCCAAACTCGAAATGGTGGACCTGGTAGCTGGTTCAATCGTATTCAAGATCCAAGCACACAAGAGGCTGTTATTCGCCCACCAGTCCGCGAGAAGATCATCATCGTCAATGGCAGGCTTAATCGAGCCATCCAAAAAACCGAATTTTTTCCGAGACCTAAGAGCCATCCGGATCGAATGTGACCATTATTCATAATTGCTGCCTCTGAATTAAACATTAGTGATGATTAAACCGGGATTATCACTCGCCGTCAAATCATAGGGCGAGATCTTTCGCCGGTTAACAATGTCATTGTTGTTGCCGCTGGTAGCAACGACCTTATCCTTGCCGGAACACTCAACACGATCATTATTATCACCCATGATCATAAAAAAAAAACTGTATATGTTCAGAACAAGATCAAGCTTGCTCTGATACCATAACAGAACAAGAAGAAGACGGCATAATATTTGGACTGCCGAAAAAAATGCCTCCTCCGGATGGCCAGCTTTTGTATTTATATTATTAGAGTTAGGGTTACATTGAAGTAAGATTGTACATCGTAACTAATTAAATTACAACGAGATTAATTACTACATTTACACTCTAACATTCTCTGAACTGTTTCTCTGGAATAAATGAGAAGAACTCACGTGATGAATCAACATGCTCATGACCGCGCTTTTTCAATTTCTGTTGACTGCATATTACGAAAGTAATGTGGGTGTCATATACGTTACAGAGTTCTTTCATCAACTTTTGATTCGAATCCGTTTCTTTTTCTTTTTGCCTATTTTGGAATTTGGTAACTTATTGTAGTATACGACAAAGGTCATTATTTTTCATTCCCAATGTAGTATATCGGTAACGTATATTCGGTGTTGAATAAAAACTTCAGTCACAATCAGTATTCTGTGAGATGCATGAGCTATTTTGCTCTTTTAAGACACTTTAATTAAAAATTGTTAGAGTCTATTAATCCACTATTCTATCAGTATTAAGTAATATAACAAGCTAATTCAAGCATTTCATTGATAAGGCTATACCAAAAGACCAAAGTACTACTGACATTTTTCAGTAGAGATATGCAACATTTTACTCATTTTTCACACTTGTTTCAACAAATTGTATTATTCTTATTATTATTTTTCTAAAATCTCAAACCCTCCTCTCTAATATTCCTGAAGTTGTCGCTAATAGAATCCAAAAATACACAGACAAGAAGGGAAAAAAGAAAAAGAAAAAAAAAGTGCAAAAGATTTCATTAAAGTGAACATGAAATCAACAGATTTTTGAAATGAGAAGTACTAGTTTCCACCTAGCTTGGTTTTCTGTGGGTGAAACGAAGTTTATAAATAAGTCTGAAGGTTTTTTTTTTTTTTTTTTCAAGATGAGAAAAACGATTAGATATATTCTACTCATTTCAAAATAACAACGAACAAATATATTCATCAATTATGACGGACTGTGAGAGTACGTAATATACTGCACCACAAGATAAAATCTTATTAATAAGATTATATATATTGATTATTGAACATGACCTACATTATCATTCAAGACATACCATGGTCAGATGAGTTGAGCAAATAAGCCGAAATAAGTGATTAATTAAGTATAGCAACTATGATTCATGAATAAAAGTGCAGAACCAAAGCCAATTTGAGCACTCATAACTCGAGAGTGGTAGTAATTAACAGATCTTTCTCACAAATGCAATGATAGTTAATTAATGCAATTCATGGGACAATTTGTAAAAATCTAGTAATAAGGTTAACCATAATAATTTTCTCTTCAAAGACCAGCAACAAAAGCCATTAATTCAAGTAAAATTAGAACCCCAACAACTGGTTTACATTAATTTTCCTTACATTAATTAAACAACAACAATGAACCAATCCTTCAAAAACAGCAACAGAATCCCCTCTTCTCATTTTTAATCAACTTCATCGATCATCACTGGCTTGGGTGGAGTACTTGGTGGATGGCGGACGCTGCATTCCACCACTTTCGCCCACTGCCTCAACCTTACTTTCATTTCCTCTGGATCATCTGTAGAAAGACAAAACGTTACTCAACATTTTCATATGATTAATAGACCAAAATATGTAAGGATTAACGTTAAAATTGAAAAAAAAAAGTATCGGTAAAGGCATTTCTTTTTTCCTTCTTCTATATAACTGAATGATTCCGCCACCATAATTTTTTTTTTTTTTTGAAGAACGCCACCATAACTAATTGTCACTGTTTTTAGACTAGAAATTTAGATATAGACGATTTTGTTGAAGAGAATGTGCTGTACTTACCAACATTAAAGAATTTGTTACAAGAATTAGTAGTCACACTTCGGTAAAATTCCAATGCTGGGAAGACTTTGAACAGCTTGGGATCCACATCAGGTGAATCCAGCTCAAACCCTAGTTCAAGAGCCCCTTCGATTTCCTCAATATCGAGGTCATTGAAGCCCTTCTTGTTGCGACGCCGGGATAACTTCCGGCGTTGCAACCACACGGCGTCCCTGGGATCGGCAGTGGACGTCGTTTTCGGCACCCCTGCAGCAGACTCCACTAATGTTGGTTTCGTTTCGAGCTCTTGAGACATGTTATATTGCTGTTACTACAAGAGAAGATATTTCAGGAAGAATGTCTTAAGGGTATAGGATTATACAAATACAACTAAGCAAATAAGCAATTGTAGTATGCAAATATTTATAGAGATGATGAATAATGTGTACTTACTTATTTCCTGTTTTAGCTGGGAGTCGGACAAGGAAATCTTAGTAAGTACAGCTGTATAAAGGTCTAATTCTTTTCAGTTTGGAATTATAAAGATTGACTCGGATACCGAATATGCTTTGACCCTGTGAGGTAATTTGTTAGCCATTATTACGAATTGATTATAACATACTATATTTTTTTTTTTATCAAGAAAGTAAATTTTTGTATTTCCTCTGAACTTTCAAAATTCTGTACAGGCCTATAATGTACTATTACATAACAATAATCGGTTACCTTGTAAATATGGTTGGAAACTTGATCGGATCTCCGTTTTCCGCTCTCCAGGCTTGGCCAAATTAACGGTCAGCCTACTACTCTCCAGGCTCGCTGAGTGTGAATAAGCCCGGCAGCCCTCGCTCAGTGTAAATAAGTGGATTATCGACTGTTATTGGCGAGGGTCAATATTTCGGTTGAATAAGTCCGGCACCTAGAGTTCTCTGGCGGAGCGACCGAGTTGTTTGGTTGTCTTAAGTGACGGCAGTGGTCGGAAAGCCTAAATAATTGGGTTTCCGACAACCCAATTATGCAGAGAATGAATAAAGGTTTCTACTTGTTGGGGGAGATGGATAAAGACAACCAGAACCTGGGGTATTTTCCACACCAAGAGGTCACAATTTTCTCGCTTTGTTGTTTCACATGATTAAGCCGGGCGTAGCTTGAATTTTGGTCTGATTTCTATTTCTTTTCTACTGTAACAGTCCTCGATTATGATAAAGTTCTTATTTTCTTTTGAAAATTGGATTTTGTTTGTCCTTTTTTTTTTTTTTTTTTGTAATCTTCTAATTGAACTTGTTGCACTGCGTGACCTTCAATCTTGTAATGGAGCTTTTTCATATTATACTGTTGTTTATTCCTTTACTTGACAAACTATCATCATTTTTCCGATTTTTTTTTTTTTTTTGCCTTCCTCATTTGTTTATTCCATTGTTGTTTGTTGCTATTCTAGTAAACAATTTGTTGGATTAGTTGTTGCAGTGCCGAGGTCTTTTTGTGTTTACGATTATTTTTCTCGATATCTCTGATTGAATTTGGGCTAATTCTTAGGTGCACCCGGAACCACCATGGTCCCCCTCTTATTTTTTGCACATATAATCTTTATTGTACTTTTTCTCAAATTTTTTATGTTTGCAAGTTTAGTCTGTGTCGCTTTGTTTTTTCTCCCTCATAAAATATCTCTAATTTTCAAATATGCATATCTCTCAATCCGTGAAAAATTTGTGAACGAATAATATATGAAATTTATAGTACTCGTCGAGATCTATCCAACAAGATCCATATCGAATATTTTTTTCGAAGTTAAAAATGACTAAATTTTGATGGGCATAAATGAAGGAAATTTGTATGGTATTTGGATGGATATCTAGTTTAAAAGATGGATAAACAACTATTTATATTGATATTCTCTTATATACCAAAAAATAATTGTCTTGATGGGCTAGTATTATACTTGTGAGGTGTATCAATTATTGAATAGTTATTGTACCAAAATAAAAAAAAATAATAGTTTTGATTGGTTGAATAATTTTTGGTGAAAAAATGATGTCATTAACTTTAGAAAATTATACTTTTTCTATATTAAAACATGAAAAGTAAAATGGTAGGATACCTTAACATTAAAAACATATTAGTTTTTTCTCTTAATATTTCTGATAGTTCGTGGAACAAAAAAAAAAAAACAAAAAAGAACAAGCATTACCTGCCCAAAGAGAATTTCTTCGTTATTGTTATTTAATTATGAAACGGTCGTCTTCCAGCTGGTCTTATTCCGTTTTTTTCTTTAAATCTTTAACAACATGTCACTCTCCATTATTTTACTTAAAAAATTCTAAGTCTTTGGTAGATTAAAAACTTGCAATGGTTTTGTCTATTATTTTAATATTTTTAATAGTCCGTTAGAAAATATTGTGGCTCTAATTCAGTCTTCGTTTTCATGTTTAACAGTATGCAACTATGTATCGTTACACTTAAAAGGTTCTAATTCTTTGACAGCTTAAAAATCTAGAATAATTTTAGCAGTTATTTTTTAAATTTTTGGCAAACCCGTTGAACCAAACAGAAAAGAATAAAATGAACTGGCTGGTCTCATTTTATCTTCATTTTTATCTTTAACAGTATGTCACTCTGTATCGTCATTCTTAGGTTTCGAGTATTTGGTAGGTTAAAAACATGCAATATTTTTGGCTATTACTTAGAACATTTCATAGCGTGTTGAACCAAAAAAAGAACCAAGCACTACCTACTAATTTTTCTAAAGAAATTTTTTTTGATAGTTCTATCTAATTATGAAAATTCTTACAGCAGGTTTCATTACAATTCTATTTTTATCTCTAATAGCATATAATCTGCATTGTGTCGCTTAAAAGATTTTGAGTCTTTGGTAGGTTAAATACCTACAATGGTTTTGGCTGTTATTTTAATACTTTTGGCAGCCCGTTGAACCAAAAAAAAAAAAAGAAAAGGAAAGTCTCATTTCATATTTATTTTCATCTTTAACTGCATGTTATTTTGCAATGACTTTGGCTGCTATTTTAGTTTTTTTAACAGCTCGTTAAACCAAATAAATGAAAAAGAAAAACCAGTGAGTCTTATTCCATCTTCATTTTCATCTTTAATAGCATATCACTTTGCACCATCCTGCTTAAAATTTTTCAAGTTTTTGGTAGCTTAAAAATCTGTAAAAATTTTGGTTGTTATTTTAGTATTTTTGAAAGCACGTTAAAAAGAAAAAGAAAAAAAGAACTGGCACATCATTCCATTTTTATTTTTATCTTTAACAGTTTGTCACTTTGTTCATTATTTTTTATTTAAATATATTAAATTTAAAAAATAATTATCCACATATTTTTCATATAGAACAGTTATTTTTCTAAATATACAGATTTGTTATGAACTTACAATTTTTCGGATTTGATTTTTTTTCATAACTAACATTATCTTAGTCCTTAATCAAAAAGAGTATACAATTTCCTTGATGGTCTAATTAATCAGAATATTAGGGGTTATATATCAATAAATAATTGTGTTGATGGGCTAGTGTTATGCTCATGAGGTGTATCAATTATTAAATAGTTATTGTACAAAAAAAGGAATAATTTTGATTGGTTGAATAATTTTGGTGAGAAAATGATGTCATTAACTTGCAAAAATTATACTTTTTTATATTAAAACATGAAAAGTAAAATGCCAGGATACTTAAATATTAAAAAAAAATTTCTCTTAATATTTCTGACAGTTAGTTAAACCAAAAAAACAAAAAAGAACAAAGGATTACTTACCTAAAGAGAATTTCTTCGCTGCTTTTATTTAATTATAAAAGGGCCGTCTTCCAGCTAGTCTTATCCAGTCTTTTCTTTAAATTTTTAACAACATGTCACTCTCTATCATCTTACTTAAAAAATTCTAAGTCTTTGGTAGATTAAAAGCTTGTAATGGCTTTATCACTATTTTAGTATTTTTAACAGTCTGTTAAATAAAAAAATTGTGGGTATAATTCAATCTTCATTTTAATGTTTAACAGTATGCCACTCTGTATCGTCCCACTTAAAAGGTTTCAATTCTTTGATAGCTTAAAAATCTATACTAACTTTAGCAGTTATTTTTCGTATTTTTGGCAAACTCATTGAATCAAACAGGAAAAAATAAAATAAACTGGTTGGTCTCATTTTATCTTCATTTTTATCTTTAACAGCATGTTATCTGTATCGTCATGCGTAGGCTTCGAGTATTTGGTAGATTAAAAGCATGCAATGATTTTGCCTATTACTTAGAACATTTCATAGCCTGTTGAACCAAAAAAAAAAAAAACAAGCACTACATACTTTTTTGAAGATAAATTTTTTAATAGTTCTATCTAATTATGAAAATTCTTGCAGCGGGTTTCTTTACATTTTTATTTTCATCTTTAATAGCATCTACTCTGCATTGTGTTGCTTAAAAGATTATGAGTCTTTGGTAAATTAAATACCTAAAATTAGTTTTTGCTGCTATTTTAATACTTTTGGCAGCCCGTTAAACCAAAAAAAAAAAAAAAAAAAGAAAAGTCTCATTTCATATTTATTTTCATCTTTAACAGCATGTTATTTTGCAATGACTTTGGCAGCTATTTTAGTATTTTTAACAACCCGTTGAACCAAATAAATGAAAAAGAAAAACCAGCGAGTCTTATTCCATCTTCATTCTCATCTTTAATAGCATATCACTCTGCACCGTCCTGCTTAAAATTTTTCAAGTCTTTTATTGGTTAAAAATCTGTAAAGATTTTGGTTGTTATTTTAGTATTTTTGACAACACTTTAAAAACAAAAGAAAAAAAGAACTGCCTCGTCATTCTATTTTCATTTTTATCTTTAACAATTTGTCACTTTGCTTGTTATCTTTTATTTACATATATTAAATTTCTAAATGATTATCCACATATTTTTCATATAGAACAATTATTTAAATTCTAAATTTACAGATTTGTTACGAAATTACAATCTTTCGGATTTGATTTTTTTTCAAAACTAACAATAAAAAACTACCACAAGCTTAGTGTAAGTCTTTTGAAAACTATGCATTGTAAATTGATCTTGCTAGTTCCAGAGGTTTGTTTTTATATTTTTTTCTAAAGGAACTTTTTCTTTGAAAATATAAGCCAATATAACCTAATTTGGTATCATTTTGCTTCAATTATTTCATTAATATGTCAGTCTCTTAATTGGAAAATATAAAGAAACCCAAAATATTTTACATTAATTTAAGTCATTCTTTCCTCCCCGCTGACCGAGCCTTCTCATTTCTGATCAAAATATTATTAAATACTGATTTGATACACCATCAACTAACAAACCCATTTCTTCTTGGTTTCACCTACAATCATTTAGGGGAAAAAACGCATTTAGAAAAGCCAAGATCATGAGATGAAGTTACCATGGAAGAATGGTGGTGTCAATAAAAAAAAATTGCACTAAGAAATTAATTTATTTTTCTTTCAAAATTGTATTGGCTTTTATAAAATGATAACATTGCACATCTGGAGTCCTAATATAAGCCAATTACATTGATCAATAGGTACTCAAGTATAAAATCAACGCAATATAGATCCAAGAGATCACTATGCTTAGGAAAGTTACCTTTGACATAATTCCTTCTAAACTGGAGATCGTCGAAAAGTATTCAATTCCCAGAGACATTTAACATTTTCTTTTCTATGGATTGATGAAATATATTGGTTATACTTGTTCTTGATAGGGAATTAATTGTAACTAAGAGAACACTCCCTTTTACCAAAGCTAGCCTGCTATTAATATTTACTATTTTCACGAATTTTCTTTTCCATTTTGCGGGTGGAGGCCATTGTAGATCCCATGATACCAAAATCCAATTGCAGTGAAAAGTATCACAAATTCAAAAGTCAAAAAAAAAAAAAACACGGCCGATGTAAAATTAAGGATTGGTTTCTCACCTTTTTCCGCATATGAAGAAACTATAAACCTCCCAGACAATTAAGGATTGCTTTCTTACCTAAGCTC